AAAATATTGTGATGCTACCATGGTAGTGCAATTCTACCATGCATGTACCATAACAAACCATCTTTGTGTGTTTGGATTTTTGAAATTGACTTGGGTATTGGGATGCATATTGCATTATTATTTCTTCATTGAATTATCACATTTGATTTATTAAACTATAAAAAGTTTATTGATATTATTTAGATAACCTTTGTTGGCTTATTTTTTTATATAGGAGTTTTAACTTCTGTTTGTAGGTTCATACACCATTTGACTTTAAAATTTGGGTATATAGTACCTTATAATTTGGTGTATTAGAACTTTTGGTAATTTGTTGATTTTAATATGATTTTAGAGGCTTGAATTAATTGATAATGATTGTCATCATTACTATACTCTTAATAAGTCATCCTCTAGTATCCTTATATGGTTTTCTATGCCTAACTATGCTTTGACATCTGGTCAGATTGAAGATCACAAAGATAGAAATAGAAAATAACCACAACATTTTGAAGGCCCTGTGGTTTCACTTTGAATGTGTAATGATGTTAATTGATTTTACTTTACTATTGTAAACAAATTAATCATGTTTTGGACTTGGGACCATATTTTCCGAACTTTTTGAACCTAAAAACGTTTTGGGTTTAAAATCAAATGATTTTATAAGTGTTTTTAAAACAACACCTAGGGACGGGTGTTTGAGAGAGAGAGAGAGAGAGAGAGAGAGAAATAAAGAGAGAGATAGAGAGAGAGAAATAGAGAGAAGGAGAGAGAGAAATAGAGAGAGAGAGATAGAGAGAGAGATGTTGTTGACCCCTAGACATACATTTGTTATACTTTATTCAATGTTTTATGCAAATTATAAAATGTTTCATTTTTTAGATTTTATGATGTTTTCTTAAAGAATGAATCCTTTATAGTATAATGTTATTTTCAAATAAAACCTATGTGGATGTCACATAATTACTCTCACCTACATCTCTACCAACGTTCATAATATTCCATGCAAATTATATCCATATTTGGCATATGGGATTGGGATTTTTTGAAGAACTTTGATTTTGGCACATGAAGAGATCATCTTTGTCTTTGTTATGTTGTTTGGCTCATTTTCAGTTGTTTATTGGGCTAAGTATATTTTGGCACCAAAAAATTCCTTAGCTTTGAAAAACAACGTAGTTTACTAATTTGTATGAGGGAACTGTCAATCTGTCATCCATTTTCTCTCCATTGCTTCTTCGCAAAGTTGAGTCACCACTATCAAATTCAGATTGGCTTCAATGGAAACATGTGAACATGGACTAGCATCACATCTTGTGACCTTAATTAGGAAACTTAATCCAATTATCTGCTCAACTTTTCTTGACTAGTCATACTACTATGAAAACATATATCTGGTGTTTTCATCATTTCTCACATTTTCCAATAGCCTTGAGATGTTGCATCCAATCTCTTACCTCGCCTCTCAAAGTTAAACATGAATCCATTATGTGACATCCCCAATTTCACGGGCAGAAAAGACCGATTTGTTTATGCTTATTTAAAAATCAGAGTATCATTTTGAAGAATAATATTATAGAATTTGTTCCCAAAATATGATAAAAATATTATCAAAGCATTTCCGAATAAATGTATTTTAATTATATTAAAAACGTTGGGATGTCATCGTCAATACAGTACATAAGCATAAATGGAAAATAACATAGGCCTTACAAACATCTATTATTCTATTGGCCTATAATCCATAAATATCTCATCTGATCATCACACCGGTGCTCTTGTGCCACTACCTGTAATACAATAACTGAGTGGGTCAGGCTTGGGAGCCTGGTGAGTACATATGATTTTCAACCCATAAAAATTAAATTCTTGAGCACATATGGTTTTCAACCCATAATAATTAAATTCTTTATTTTCATCAAATCATTCAACCCGATTACTCGTTCCCGTTATCCTCACTTTCTGTCCCTAAAGCATCTAATTAAAGGGACATATCCTAAGGATTATCTTCGGGTTATCCTCGTTCCCGTGGTCGTCATCTATACTCTGCTAGATGACTGGATCAGCTTTAAAATCAAGGTCTCTCATCATTTATCTCATCTTTCATTTTTCATCATCTTTCATCTACCAATTTTTACCCAACATATTTATAGGTATAAAATACATATACAGTTTAAATCAAGTAAAACATGTATAATTCGTTCATCCAGCATAAATATCAGCAAAGCAGATAATAGGCACATATAACATGTAATTTATATTAAATACTTCATATCTATGTGTAAGATGAAAGTAACTATGCAATCACTTGATAAAGTGATGACTCGAAATTCGGGCGACGCTTCACTTCTAACAATTGTCTTTTCCTTTGACGTAACCTAGTGTCATTATCACTAAGTCTTAGTTTAATATTTATTACGACTAATTAGTAGTGTAGATTCATCATTAATTCAAATTCTACTTCATGATCTATCAAGTAAGGAACAACAAGGTAGGATCATATCAGAGGTATGGTCCGTTTGGTATACGAAGTATATTGTTTGGAAATCCCACTTTAAACACCTCACTAAATCCAGCCCAGACATCATCTCCGTAAGTAGATCAATCAGTATAACGACTTGGAATCAATGATAAATCTTGTTTATAGGTTTATAATAACGATAATGAGCTTAAACATAAGTTATAATTAAAGTACGATAAACATAACTCAACTTACAGGTGGTTTAGCGAAAAACCAGAATTTGCGCGGGTAGAACTTCTAAGTCGAAATCTCTACTTCTCAGGACTTTATGGCGCTCCGGGGATTCGCTACTAACACCTAGGAAGTGCTAGAGAAAAGCCTTGAGGCTTTGGGGGGGGGGGGGGGGGGGGGAGAAAATTGGTTGAAGAGGTGTAAAGATTTGAGTGAAAAATGTCATCTATTTGTAGGCTGGAGAGTGCTACGTCCGTTGGGCGTACTCTAGCATTACGTTGGGTGTTCAGCAGTACGTTGGGCGTACGCATGCTACGTGTCGCGATTAGGTGCCAAGCCGCAGGGAAGAAGGTGTGGCCTAGATCTTGCCACGTGTCGATTTCTGGTTAATCCGAAAATTAATTATCTTTTAAAATCCGTAACTTTCGTATACGAGCTCCGTTTTTGACGTTCTTTATATCCACGCATAGCTATCTACGTGATCTACAACTCGTTTAGACTCCGTCGACTAATTTTGACTTTATTTTTAAAGTTATATTTTAACAGGCTTAGACAGTTAAAGTCCGTTAAAAATTCATAACTTCGTCATCCGACGTCCGTTTTCGACTGTCTTTATATCGTTGAGCTCCTACTAATGAGATCTTCAAATCTCGTTTAAGTTGTGTCGGCTAATAATCGACCAATCTAAAGTGCGATTTCCGGGTTGTGTACTGCTATGTTGAATCTTAGAAAATTCTTAACTTCTTCTAACGAAGTCAGATTTGGACGTTCTTTATATGTATGCTCTCGGTTTAACATCTACCATGGCTTTCGTTTAGATCTCTAAGGCTAAAAGTATTTCGTCAAAACTTTACTTTTTACGATACGCGGAGTCGTGCCGGTTTAATCGCAAAACGTCGACGGGTCATAACTTCATCGTTATAAGTCGGATTTCAGCGTTCCTTATATCTCCGAAATCCTTGTTACGACTACTTCAACTTTCTTCAAACATATTGGGTGTAATTATTATTTTATTTTAGACGCGTATTTTATTCCTATTTTATTATATCGTTATAAGCACATATATTGCACATAATTTACACGTAAATCAGACAATACTCAAATAATTCTTCTTCATTACTTCAAAATAGGTTACATTTGTTAACCCTAACTATTACATCACCATAATAATGCTTAGCCAGAAACGCGGATGTTACACATTATAAACACATCTTACAATCTTTCAGATACCTCAGATATCTAATTTGAGAGATTCCACAATCTCGCATAAGCATCAAGGCCAATCTTAAGGATTTAAATATCCTCAAATGTGCAGGACGAACCAGAAAAAAAGTCCCTTATTGCTATTATAAGTTTTTTTTATTTTAAATATATAATATAATATAGAGTAAATTACACGAATGGTCCTTATGGTTTGGGATAATTTGCGTGTTTGGTCCGTAACTTATTTTTTTTAACTCGGAAAGTCCATGTTGTTTGTTTTTGTTACACGGTTGGTCCCTACTGTTTGTTTTTGTTACGCGTTTGGTCCCTATCTTATCTAAAAAGACTATTATTTAAATAAGAAAAAATGGTGGGATATGTAAGGTAAGATGAAGGGGATGGGAATGGGGGTGTGTTTATTTAAATAAATTAAAAAAATCAAGGGTAAAATAGTTTTTTAGGTAAGACAGGGACCAAGCGCGTACCAAAAACAAACAGTAGGGACCTTCCGAGTTAAAAAATAAGTTATGGACCAAACACGCAAATTACCCTAAACCATAGGGATCATTCGTGTAATTTACTCTATAATATAATATGATATAATATAACATAATATAATCTTATATTATATTATAAAGCATATTAGTCATATCTTGAATTTTAAGATGTATAAGATACAAAGCTTTTTGTAGTAATCAGTTATGCATAAACAAATAATTAACACTTGCAAAAATTTTAAATACTTAAATTAAAGAAGGCTATTAAGAAATTTAATTTGGAGCAAACTGACAATTTTTAGATATTAAATTCATTATATAAATTAATTTATATTCTTAAATTAGACATCGAAATAATTAATTTACATAAAATGTATAAAGAAACAATATAAATATAATTTCTAAACATAAATTTTTTATTTAAAAGTGATTATTTTTTTATTACATCATAACTAATAATATAATCTAATAATTATTTCTGTGTTAAAAAACTATTCGTCAAAAGAGCTATTTATCGTCGTTGCTTTACGAAGACACATTAAACCAAAAATTCCAGTGAGTTGCGAGAGGTAGAAAGCTTAGGAACATTCCTTTATCAGATAACTACACCCATTAAGTCATGAAGTTGCTCATATGATCCAAAAATGCAACCTAAGATAATAAGTGGTAGAAAATAAATCAAATAATACTTATTTATTTGTTACCAGAAATACGAAAAAGATAGTCCTTAAAAAGTATCTACAAAGATTTTGATATATATGATATGGAATAGAACTTTCACTATATTTTATGCTACATAGCTTCCAATTTCAGGCATATAGCCAACGTATAGAGCTACAACATCGTTTACAGAAAAGGAACTCTTAACACATAAGCTAATAGGTATTATCATCTAGAAAATATGCCTAAATACCACAAATTAATTCCAAATATTTGATGGCGAGCTACACCTTTTTTTTCCCGAGATGAAACTTATTTGTACAATTGAAAAGTTAACATTGATCACATCCGAAAGTAAATACACCATATATGCCAATTAACCAACAATTAACTACTTAACTACGCTAGCTTAAAAGAATACAATAATCACAATACGGCTTTCCTTAATTTATTCCACCTTTATCCTACTTCATAACGATTCAAACCACAGAGGTTTATTTCCGTTTTCTTTCTTATCTTCAAAAGCCTCGATCTAATCCCATGATGAATCATAAATTGTTAGTCCCAAATCTTATCCATTAAAGCTTACCACATGGAGTCCAAGTTGAATGGTTGCTCCTGTTGTTCCTGATGCTGCAAAGATTCACAATTTCTAGTGGAAGATGCTTGTAAGCTTGGACTTGCCCCATCTAAAAAGTTGGAATTCGCTTGTGGCATGAATTGATAATCAAAATTGGCAGCTTCTCTTTGTTGGTAACTTCTAAGTTGCAATGCTTTAAGAAGTAACGCATTCATTGAAAGGTTTGAACTTAGTATGCTAGATGGCCATAATGGAAGACCGTGTACCAAACTAATATTCTGGTTCATATTCGTGTTGAGGTTGGTTTCCATGCCGTAATTACGAAGTGAAATGTTACCACTTAAATTTGCAATGTCATTTAAGTTTGGCAGCTCGATATCACCATAGTCATTTGCCATCGTGTTGGTATCACAAGGTGAATCCATCGACTGAGGCGAAGATGTGGTGCCCATTGGTTTTTTAGATGTCGTGCTTTTTTGGAAAATTCTGCAAACTACCCATTCCTCCTGTAGAAGATGGTATAAGAATCATCAAACCTACCCATCGATTTCTTTACACTTAAAAGAAAAGGAACATAACAATCACATATGCATTCATATTTTTAGTTTTTCCACTTTCATGATGTTAGAAATCGACAGATATATTATGATTATATAAAATGTCGGATAACTAGTTATGGACGTACCTTATTAGGTTTATAAGCATGTGTAGTTTCAAGTCTATACTCATGCATCACCCAGTTGGTTTTTTCACCTTTAGGAGCTCTACCCATGTAAAAAACTAGGGTTTTCTTCATTCCAACCAAGATTCCACCACGAAAGATTTCTTTGTCCTTTCCTGTTGTCTTCCAATAACCCGCCACAGTTGCACGGTTTGTTCGTAGTCCTGTTGGGTATTTTCGATCTCTCATGCTGAAGAAATACCATTCCTTTTCTCCCATAGAAGCTTTGGCTGCATACAACTTGTTAGATTAATTATCACTTCTCGTACTAGGTTTTCACTAACTAATTCGAAAGTATCAAATTAAATTTTTTTATAGTTGTTTTGTCCAACGACACCAAGACGACTTGGAAACATATAGAATCATGAAATAGAAGGTAAAAAAGATTAGGTGCCCTCACCAATGACCAGCATCACAATCAAAATGTGAAAGGTAAATAAATAAAGAAATAAGATAACGTAGAAGTTAGAACCTAACATCTTCTTTATATTTTTCATCTTCTTGCAACTAATCCAACCAAGCGGAGATTCAGAATTGAAAATAAAATTCCTACATCAATGATATTACGTATATTTTTTTATTTTTAAATCAAATTTATTTAATTTGTCACTTGAAATTAGTATAACTGTCTATCTATTTGGTACATATGATAAAGCACATCAAAGACTAATGTATCCATTTATGTGCATGATAAGATCAACGAAAAAATTGTGTAAGTTTCGGAAATTGAAAAAGTCTAGTGTGCCGTCGAAGACGTTTGCTTTCATTTGTATACATGTATATAATATACACAACAAAAATAAACATTAAAATCTCATTACTTTTTCCGACCATATAGAAAAAGAAAACTGGCATATCAATTGAAGAAGAAGATCGGCGCTGTTTTCCAAGTCAAGCAGCCCTCGGTTCATTTTGGGCTGCATGTACTCTTAGTTATTTCTGTTTTCCCACCCTTCTTTTGGTGGTCTGCCGATAGCGTCCATCTAGCACCATGCTAGTTTTCTTTTGGAATAAAATCATAGTATTTCGGGAAAAAAATCAATGGAAAAAGTAGATATACCCAAACATGTGTACAATATATACCTGGGAGGTCCCAAGGTTCGCATTTATTGAGATCAACCTCAGCAACTGCTTTGGAAGTGAAACTTGAATCAGTAATCTTTTGACTGAGATAAAAAGTGATAAGTTCTTCATCAGTTGGATGGAACCTAAATCCCGGAGGAAGACTCTCTTCCATCCTAGCTAATTAAGGAAGTGGTTGGATTGGAGAAGAGTTTGAGGTTAGCTGTTAATGTGAAGCATCTCTCTTGTGGTTTTGTATAGCCCACAGCCTTCATCAAGAAGCAGCCACCTATAGATTAGTCTTCTTTTAGCTTTGATTATAACAACTAACTCTTTGACAAAGATGGGTTGGTATATAGTGGATAATTTTGTTTTTTTGTCTTTTGTGAAAAGTGTGTTTTCACTTGAATACCCCTCTAGAATATTGGAATAATGTAGGACCCAATTGATTTCATTTCACATTCGTGTGTAAGTGAATGGAAATCATTTAGAAAATAACAGGAAATGCAATTGGATAATTAAAAAATACTTTGCATAGTAATTAACAATCAGTAACTCTTTCATAGTTTCTTTACATTCAATATCAATCAACTTGGCACGATTATCACATGTGACCTTTTCTAGTTCTTGCATCCCATCAAGTTTGAGCTCGCATATATCACATTCAATTTTTAAATTGGTAGCTTAATTATATTTCAAAACATTCCTCATCATAAGCTGCATATTAAAGAGCCAAAGAATGGATCGCGTCCATCCGAAAGTCCTTCCATGGATAACTCATGGTTTTCACAACTTCCAAGAAAGCTTTAAATTAAAAGACAACCCGGAGAACATTATTTTAC